AGCCCAGTACAGCCCAGTACAGCCCAGTACAGTAAGTACAGTACATCAGAACCCAGTATGACCCAGTACAGCCCAGTAGTGTACTCTAGAGCCCAGTACAGCCCAGTACAACCCAGTACAGTACAGGCCAGTACAGCTCAGTGTGGCCCAGTACAGCCCAGTAGAGCCCAGTATGGCCCAGTACAGTGCAGTATAGCCCAGTACAGCCCAGTACACACCAGTAGAGTACAGCCCAGTATGGCCCAGTACAACCCAGTACAGCACAGTACAACCCAGTACAGTACAGTGCAGGCCAGTACAGCCCAGTATGGCCCAGTACAGTAAGTACAATACAGTACAGCCCAGTATGACCCAGTACAGCCCACGACAGCCCAGTACAGTGCAGTATAGGCCAGTACAGTACAGCCCAGTAGAACCCAGTACGGCCCAGTATGACCCAGTACAGTATAGCCCAGTCCAGTACAGCCCAGCATGACCCAGTACAGCCCAGTATGTCCCAGTACAGTACAGTATAGCTCAGTACAGTCCAGTACAGCCCAGTATGACCCCGTACAGCCCAGTATAGCCCAGTACAACCCAGTACAGCCTAGTATGTCCCAGTACAGTACAGTACAACCCAGCATGACCCAATACAGCCCGGTACGACCCAGTACAGCCCAGTACACACCAGTACAGTGCAGTCCAGTACGACCCAGTACGAACCAGTATGACCCAGTACAGCCCAGGCCGTACGGCTCAATGTGGCGCAATACAGCTCAGCGTGACCCAGTACGGCCCAGTACGGCCCAGTACAACCCAGTACAGCACAATATGTCCCAGTACAGTACAGTGCAGTGCAGTGCAGCCCAGCATGATCCAGTACAGCCCAGTATGTCCCAGTACGGTACAGTATAGCCCAGTACAGTACAGCCCAGTACGCACCAGTACAGTACAGCCCAGCATGACCCAGTACAGCCCAGTATGACCCAGTACAATACAGAATAGCCCAGTACAATCCAGTACAGCCCAGCATGACCCAGTGCAGCCCAGTATGGCCCAGTACAGCCCAGTATGGCCCAGTACAGCCCAGTATGGCCCAGTACAACCCAGTATCTCCCAGTACCGTACAGTCTGGTGCAGCCCAGTACGACCCAGTACAGCCCGGTATGAACCACCACAGCCCAGTACGGCCCAGTACAGCCCAGTACTGTCCAGGCCGAACCAGCACAGCCCGGTGGGCACACCCCCATCCCCCCCCCGAGGACCCAGACACCCA